TTTTAGGCAAAACACCTGAGGGGGACCTCAGGCAAAAATTTCGACAGGAACTTTTTGTCTGCCTTCAAGACGAAACTTAGGTGAACACCGTTTCTCGACATGCGCGATCCAAATATCGCGGTCTCCCGGCTTGAATCGTTGCGAGGAAAAAGCAGATAGTTTTCATATGCAAGAACGGATGCATTGTTCGCGAGTTATAAGCAAAACAAATTGCAAATTGTCCGTCTACAAGATGTACGAAAACGGTATTTTTTGGAAAAAAGATCCGTTTCTGACCCAACTCCAAAAAATAAAATCAAAACCTAATTTTTTTATTCTTCGTTCTTTCTTTCCTTAGAAAAATGCTGTCGATGAGTCATCAAAAAAATGAATTTTTCGACTTTTGACCGCTGTAGTTCAGTAAGTTGACGGGATATCGTCTCAACATTTTTTGTGGTAGTGAGGCAAGGTGTAATGAAGAGAATAAAATTTTTTTTTGAAATCCGTTCACTGGAACGCGAAGGATCGTAAAAATAAACAAATAATGTAATTGTACAATAAACTTGCAATTCAGTCATATCTAGTCATTTTGTTTTCAATTAACGATTCGTTAATTAGTTATTTAGAGCCAATGACTAATTATTAGAACTAATTATATTTTATTTTAACAAGAAAACTTTTGAATTTCAAAATTATGTATGTAAAGTGCGTCAATATTAGACAACATCGGTACATCCGAGAATATAGCAGCAAAGCTTCTAGACTTCGCTCACACATCTGCTGGATGTCGTCGATACAGCGACACCTCTGTAACCCAGGAACCATAACAGCTATGGACTTCTAATTTTGTTACTAATGTTGAATTATTTCAGATATTTTTCTGACACAGATCTGAACAGTTACGCGTATGCACTTAAATTTATAGTTTAAACTATTTTATTTAAAATAAGAAGTAATAACTAGTAATGATCACAAACGAGTGGGTGGCACTCATGATAGTGATCATTATTTCGTATAGATGAAAAGCAGAATATAAGCAACAACAAAAAGAGTGAAAAACTAAAACGGAGAGAAAAAATGAACAGAAAAATAAGAGCATGACGGCTGGGTTTTGTAAGATTGGTAATGCCTTGAATGAGAGCAATATCAACGGTGAAATTGGATAAATTTACGATACCAACTGACGGCTCCGAGTTTGCGATAAATCTTTGATTCACGAAAATTGAATGTTGCTTTAATTTTGTTTAGAAAACGTGTTATGCATTCATGCGTGGTACGATGTCCAAGAAACTATATATACATTTCATTTATCGCTTAATTCAATAATGGTGACACCATTGAAATTCAATACAAATGCAATCACTGTTGAACCAAGACGATTACCAACATTAATTCATCCATATACGAATCACATTAATCAACAGCGATTCAGATGAATATGACATTTCTCATAATGTTCATTTTTCACTGTGAAATTTGAGCGAAGTTCAAAAACTTTTGACATAGGAATGTGTCATGTCAAAATTCAAATTCTTCCATAAGTCCAGTCGTTTCTACGGATATATCATGTATTCTTTTCCCCGTCAGACATATCATACTTGCTGAAGAACATCTCAGTATATCACCTTAGATAGCAACCTTTCGAGAATGATCTAGAGCTATTTCTATGTAAGCCTTTGGAGCTATAAGCGGGTTTTCCGGAAATCCTTTGAAAAACCTGATCCGAAAATATTTCCGAAAGGCACTTTTCCTTACGAAAATATGAAGTCAACTGTAGTCTTTCGTTTGCTGAAAAGCGTAAGGCTCTAACTATTCTCATTATTAAGTTATTAAAAAAGCAACCGCCACCTCTATGTTTTGGTATAGATAGTAGTTCTCTCCTTTTGTTGCTCTTCCTATCGATATTTAACTCAAAATTTGAAAGTACACGAATACGAAATTTATTAAAATAAAAAAACATTCGCAGCAGTACATTTACAGTAATGAACATGACTTTTCATTGGTACATGATGACGATTTGACTGCATTCACTTTACGAGCGTTCTTTACATTGGACTTAAACGTGTCTTTTGAATCATCGATTGTTAGCCCTTTATCTGAATGTTGAATTAGTGTTTTGGCAAAATTAACAAATGTCTTTTGTACATTATAGTTTGTTTTTGAACTTGTCTCAATATATTGAATGCCTCTTTTCTCAGCACATTCGTTTGCCTGTTCATAAGAAACTGCTCGTTCTGTCTTTAAATCCGATTTTGTTCCAATCAAATAAATCGGGATACTTTGAGGACAATATCGTTGTATTTCATTTGCCCATTCTTCAATATTCCGAAAACTTTCACTATCTGTTATATCATAGCACAGTAATACACCATGAGCTCCACGATAAAAATTTCTAACAACACATTTGAAACGATCTTGACCAGCTGTATCCCATATCTGAAGTTTAACATATTTTGAATCAATATCAATTGTTCGGATTTGAAAATCCACTCCTATAGTCGATGCATAATCTGTTGAAAAAGAATCGTTTGCAAAACGTTGGAAAATAGATGTTTTTCCTGGAAAAGAAAACATCCGAATAGATGAGTGATGAACGAGTTAGTTAGCTGTACTGACCTACTCCACTATCTCCAATAATCAAAATTTTGAACAAATAATCGAATTCTCTGTCTAATTCGAAGTCTGACATCACGCTCTTGTCGTAATCTTATAGAATTATTTCAAATGAATGTTTTTATCACATACCTATATATATATATATATGTGAATAGTGTCAGCGTGGCAATATTAATGTAACATTATTGAATGAATCATAAGGTTAGTCATTGCATTATCTTTTGTAGTTTATCTCGTTCTCCTCACATATGAAATTTAGCAAGTTGGAATATTTTTATTTCGAAATGCTTGTCATTGCCTTAAATGATTGATAGATATTAGTGGAAGTTATTTGAAGTCACGCTTTCTTTAAAGCTGGAGTCAGTTTCAACAAATTATAGACCTATAAGTTACTGCGATCGCCCGTTGCTACGGGCGTTAAAGAAATGTGCTATTCTTTTAAATACAGTTTTCTACCATCTTTATAAACATCTTTGAAAAAGTCATCAAACAAGTGAATTTAAGTGCATTCGTCTCACGCTCAGCTATGGAGCTGTATCAAGATTTCCTATGGTCTTATAAGATCTTATTCCAAGAAACCATAAGATTTCTAAGGATCTTGTAAGTCGAAGTAGTATCCTCAGGTGGAAGAATCTTAGTGTAGGATCTTATAAGATTCGAGTACGTTTCCGTGTGATTTCGTAAGGTTTGTATAAGAATTTGTAAGATTCTGTATGAAACACAGAACGGATTCTTGATGTAAGATTTCATCTCATTTCGTTATCACCAGTGTAATTTTTATAAGATTTTATAAGATGTTGATCTGTTTTTTTTGACCTGAGTATTCATAATATTTTCTGACATAGGTAAGGCAGAAACGTCCTTGGGATCATGTTTAACCACATCCCTTATAGTCATGCACTTTATTTGCGGTCAGCTGATGTGTGAAGACGAAGAAAGAAATTTTAAGTTTTATCATAAGAACTTTGTTATTATCTACCGTTCTTCGGTCTAGGTCTCAGACATGGTCAATGAACGCTCTAGAAAATGTGGATCAAGGTATACAAAATGGTATGATAATACGAAATCGAGCAAGGCGAAGCTTCTAATGTTGAAAAGAAGTTTAATTTCTACCACTGATTGAGGTTTCTAGCTAAGTTGCCGTTACAATTTTAAAAATAAAGCAGTAAATATTTTATGCCACAAGCATGAGTTTCGAAGTTAATTTCCATCCCGGTTATGCGACGTCCTAGCAATTCGTCAAAGTTTTGTGTAACATAATGAAAAAACAGAAGAACTTTGTCCACGAAATGTGTTTGGTATGACTAAGAGACAACGATAAAAAAATACGCGAAATTTTATTTTTCTAGCCATCTGTTTCCATGACATTTACAGTTAGCTGTGTTCTTCTATGTAAAGTCTAAAGTGATTCGAGTTTAGCTTTCACACGTTAAATATCTTCTTTGATTTGCTGACGTTTCTCCTGACTTATTGTTTGTGAATTACGACAAACTTCAGCAGCTTTTCTACAGTTGGCTAAAGCGAAATTACAATTGGTGTCTGTTATTTTTAATATTCTTCCAATTCTTCTGTATGTTTTGAACACAGACAAATGAAATGACGATAATGTTTTAACTCGAGCATTTAACCATTCTTCATAATTTTCCAATGCTTCATCATAATTCTTTGATTCATAAAGCATTGAACCAATATTTTGATAACTATTTGTAATTTTTGGACAGTTTGGTGGCAAAAGAGTTTCAGTACTTTATCCTAATTTACGTTAGATGAAGAACGTTACACATCAAAATCAGAGAAAAATTCACGATAATTTAGATAGCTCCATAGCTGAGTGTTGTCTTGGGTTCAAAAGTCATGAAAGATCGTTCGTAGATATAGGTTCGTAAAGCTAAGGGGCACAGTGAGTGCAACCAAGCGTCAGCTTGTTCCTAACTTTTCTCCTTGTAGTTAGAGGACTTGAATAGATTTCAACCGGTATATCAACTCAAAATGCATTCAGATCTATTTCAAATAGATCCACTTAAACAGATTTATTATAGAAATATATTTACAATATATGAGGCATTTTAAAAATTTTTTAGATCCGATGCACTTAAACTCACTTGTTTGAAAATGGCTTTTCCAAAATATTTCCTTTTCCATATTCCAAACGTTTATAAAGCTGGTAGAAAACTGTATTTAAAAGAATAGCACATTTCTTTAACGCCCGTAGCAACGGGCGATCGCAGTAACTTATAGGTCTATAATTTGTTGAAACTGACTCCAGCTTTAAAGAAAGCATGACTTCAAATAACTTCCACTAATATCTATCAATCATTTAAGGCAATGACAAGCATTTCGAAATAAAAATATTCCAACCTGCTAAATTTCATGTGTGAGGAGAACGAGATAAACTACAAAAGATAATGCAATGACTAACCTTATGATTCATTCAATAATGTTACATTAATATTGCCACGCCGACACTATTCCTAATTTTCCAGTGAACTTTTCTACGTGTTCATTCTTCCTGTAATTATGCGGAAAGAAGTAAAATAATTAAAAACCAAACTACAATTGGTCACTACCTGCAAAACAACGCATCATCGAATTACTTCAAAAACTATCTTTAAAAAAAATGGTTCAGTACAGTCTTGAGCAAGACGATAAAAAATCATTTCTTGCAAAAGAAATGAAAAGATCTTGGGACATGTTGTCTCTAAGGTATTGCCATTTCTGGGGCCGAAGAACTTTCGCCAGAAGGCCTTGCTCTGTCATTTATATTTTTATCGACTTTGAGAATGAGCTAAGAAGTATCGAATGAAGCACATCAAAATATTTAATCTGTTTTCTTCACTTTCGTTGTTAAACTTGTTTGTCGTTGAAAGATACGTGAGAAGAGATATCCGATTAGTCTTTTCGATAAATAAAATGCTCCAAACCATATTAGATATATATCGAGATTGTATTTCGCATAAAATGGAAAAGAAATGTCTCTTGAAACAAACACATCTGATC